TCTTCCAGACCTAGGGAATACAGAATGCAAAGTCTTGAACAGCATGAGATGTTGTTGCGGAGGTAGGAACAGATCATTCAGAGGTCTATAGGCCTTGGTAAGAATTCTGGATTTTATTCTATGTGAATGGAAAGTCACTGAACAATTTAAGTTGGGGAGTAACATGTCAATATTTTTAAAAGACTATTTGGCTGCTGTGTGGGAAACAGATTTAAAACCATGAGAATAAATATCAGGCACTAAGGCACATCAATATTTAAAGTAGATTGAAAAGTACAAGAGAAAAAGAGGCTGAGAAAGAGAAGTCCATGAGGCAGGATAAAAGCCATAAAGGAATGATGTCACAAAAATTGAGATGAAGATGTCAAGGAGGGAGTGGTCAATTGTTACTAGATTTTTCTGGTTGGCTCATCCCTGAGTCATAGCCTAGAGATTTCTCTTCTTGCCTAGCTATAGTTTCCCCTACAGTTCTTCTGTATCTTATTCCAAATGAATCATTCTGTCCCAGAACTTACAAAGGCTTCCCATTGTAGTCCTGTACTGGCCTTGCTCAATCCTGTTTCTAAAACTTTGCTCTTTTAAGTTACATCTCTTCCTCAATGCCTTCAAATACACCTGCTTATACCCCTTCCAAGCTGAAGTTCATATTTGATCTCCCACAGAAGCCCTCTCCAACTTTAGCCCACACAGATGACTCTATCCAAAAAAATCAATAAAACTTTCAATTTTTTACTTTATCCAATAAACACTACTTGTTAAGCATCTGTGCTAGGCACTGTGCTATGCCTTGGAAATATGAAAAAACAGAGGGCTTAGGTAGTAAGGAAATTCACTTGCCAGTCCTTCTTATGAAAGAATTTAGGAAAAAAAGGATTCTGTCTAGTAGCTAATCCTGAGTCATTCATTCATCTACTACTTCTCTATGCTGTATTTCACTCTACCCCACCCAGCTCAGTCATGGTTAAGCTGTTGATGACCTCCTGGAACTACTGGGTTACAGTTCCGCAGGACACAATGTTGCTACTCCTACCAGTCATTAGTGGCAGAGTGCATCTAGCCACAGAGTAGGACATTTCCCAAAGTCTGAGTTATAATCAATCCAGAATAACACTAAGAAGTGTGGATATGTGCTGGTGGTGTGAACTTTGGCTGAGCCTCAGCCGAACGATCTAGGGTGTTATTTGGCATGCCAAGCCTACTCCTTTTCATGATCTCTTTGCCTGTGGGAGGTGCAGAGATTGGGCTTCACAAATTTGGGTCCAGCCAATCAGAAACTAGTAAATCGAACCCACACACATGTCCCTCAAGGACAAATATTAAGAGTTAATATATTTTAAATCCTTGTTGTGACTTTCCCGACTACAAATTTTCTGGGAGCAACTGCTGTCCTGCAATGTCAATTTTCTATTTTTTCATGTTTGCTTCAGACTCTGCCCTCTTGATGCTTAAACTGGGTCCTATTACAACTCTACCACTTAAGGATTGGTACATAGATATGCTTAAAACTGGTAGAAAGTATGAAAGTATATGATTTTAAAAGTACATACTCAGGGTTTAGTCAAATTCTTGAGCAGGGTGAACAGAAGGGTATTCTGTAATTGCTAAATAAGGCAGGGAGGTAGTATAAGCCATTATTATCCACAGTTAATTATTTCTCAAGGGTGGAAGTGGGGGTTACTCTGTCAGGTACATTTGCAGAAAAATAAATATAGTACAACATAATTGTTATAAAAAATAAGTCCCAAAAGGGTGAAGGAATGACAATTCTGTCTCAGAAAGTTATGAAAAGATCCATGGAGATAAGCATTCGCGAGAGAACCAAAGGATCTTGAGAGAACCAAGAACACAGAAAGCAACGACTTTAGAATGATTAATGTGGAGGAAATGGAGGAAGAATGGCAATGAGTTCAACAGTCTGATCATGGAAGGCCCTGCCGGTGGGTAATGAAAAATTCTTAGCAGAGAAGTATAATGATCGTATTTTCATGTTAGAAAAATTATTAATAGAATGGAGGTTTGACTGGTGTGGGAAATAACTAGAGAATATCTTGTGAATATTGCAATAGTACAAGAGAGATGAGTCATAAGGGATGGTGATTACTTGAAGGGCTAAGATAGTGAGAGTGCAGGGGTGGATTTGAGATACTTAAGGAAATAAGAGTCAGAATTTGATATTAGAAAAGAGGAAATGAAGGAAAAGTAACAAGAGTACTCATGGATTTCTGACTTGGGCAGTTGCGTGCCATTTTCTGAAACAGGGAATGGAAATGGTGTAGGTTCCAGATGGGTGAGGAAGAACATGGCATCAGTAGCAAAGTATAGTAAAGATGTCCATGCCAATTTGGGACATATTTAAGGTACTGTATGAAATGAAGTACCTTAAATGAAGATGTTGCTTAAAAATGTCTGACCTATAGATATACACCTGAGAGTTCCTGGTGCACAGGACACCTGGTAGGTAAAGTCCATGATGGAAAGAGACTGCTCAAGAAGACATGGATTAACATTAAACAGAAACAGTAAAAGAAAGTGGAGTGCTGGCGAACACAGAAACCATGCAGAAGAAAAACAGTATTTAAAGTGCACCAGAAAAGTAGCTGCAGAATGAGGAGAAAATGACACTAGGGAAACTGAGGGGAGAGTTAATTGCATGCTCTTATTGTTTTAAAAATGCAGAGTAGGATCTTTTTTTTCCCCACCCCTCCCACAGTTTTCAATATTTTGAGGGCAGAAACCACGGCTTCATTTTATCCTATTTCCTACAGTGCCTAGTTCAGTAAAGGGAAGATAGTAAATGCTCAATAAATTCTTAATGATTCAGCCTCAGATATCACAAACGGGTCCTATTTGTCGCCTGTATCAAAGTCCAGTATTTCTTCCCCCTATTTCTTCAAATAAATTTTTAGAAGTGCCTCTGGGTTTACTGAAATCCATTTTTACAATTAGTATGTTCAGCTTACACCAGCTTCGGGATGAGTTCCAAAACCTTATTTATTTACTTGAGAGATATTTGGTACCAATGACAATGGGTTTTTCTTTTACTACTATTCCTAAGAAACCTTTTTTAAAATCAAAGTTTAGCCCAATTCCCAGCAGCACATTTTAACTCCAAACCTGTTAGAAAGCACGGCAAGGAGGTGGACAGACTTTTCTGACAATTAATCATTAACTACGTCAACAGACTTATTAAAGCTATCTAATTAAAGGCAAGAAACAACTGCTTGGGGAATACACACTCACGCCACAGGAAGCCATTTAACTGCAAACAGATCGTCTAACGACTCACGGAAAGCTAAAGGAAACTGCGTGTCCGCAAGGGGTTTTGATGCCAAACTACGGATTGTTCTCTCAGGTAACACCTAACCTAAGTGAAGTCCTTGGTGGATCCGCGTTCTTGAGCTTAGAAAATACCAAATGAACTACCAAGAGCACCAGAATAATCGCCTCCTCCTGAGGAACTAGCCTCTCTTTCTCGCCACACCAGACAGCACGTCCTACAACCACCTTACCCCCAACAACCAAACTCCAGCGCCACGCTGCCGCTTCTGGGCAAATGTTCTATCTCCTGGTCTCGCGCGATCTCGCGCCTTCGAGGAAGCCAACTGTATCGCGCTTGCCATCAAATCCCCGCGGGAATAGGATTCCGCAGGTCCGGAAAGCCGGGAAATCGCGAGCGGAGGCGGGGTTACCTCCTTGAGCGTGAAGGCGGAGCCAGCTCCGAGGGGCAGGCTCGAGGCGGGGAGAGGGGCGGGGCTCCAGGGACCTGTTGATCGCAGGTGTCACTGGTCTGACTGGCCCCTGGGTATTGGGGCGTGTGCGCATGCTCCGCTCGCAGGGTCGGGCCCTGGGCGGCGGAGACCAGCCTCCTCTGCTCCAGTTCCCGGTGAGCCTCGGTACGGTGGCAGCAGTCCGTGTGTCTGGTAGGTGTCGGCGTGAAGCGGAGCTGGGCCAGCGGGAGGTAGCTGTGTGGGAGTGGAAGGCCGGTATTTCTCTACCTGGACCGCACGCTCCTCGCGCAAGGAGGGTAGAGCTCAAGGTAAGTCTCCGAAGCCAGCCTTGTGGTTGGAGATCCAGCGACCTGCGAGCCCCGCGGGCCTGACCGGGACACTCTCATTCTAGCCCCAGAGCTTGTCTCTCCCCTCGCAGCCCGGCGACATCCTCCGGCCCCGGCCCTCAGGGCACACACACACTCTCTCCGCTGGACGGTTCAGGCGCCAGAGGTCGCGCAGCCCTCTTGCCCCTTCTGGTCGCGTCTGGCGGAGATGCCTCAGGCCAGGCTGGAGGCGTGCGCGAGGCGGGAGGAGGTGCTGTACTGGCTGGGTCCTGGTTTTTATTGCTGCCGTGTTTGAGGGCGGCGACGGGGCAGAAGCTGGAGTCCTGCTGGGGTTATGAATATTACCCTTACTTGGCTCCTGCCCCTCCCTGTCCAGGCCACATTGCCTCGCCTGAGCACACAGGTTTTTACTTAAAGGGGTCCAGGATGGTTATACTCCCTCCTTGGAGAAGAGAGATGACTGGACTCTTGGGGTGGTGGGTGGTGGTTTCTCAGTGGTAGTGGTGATGTATATAAAGTTAATGTTTAGCTTCTAAAGGGTGGCTTACGGGGCATTTACCAAACTATTTTTAAACAGTGTTGGAGAACAGGAAGTACTTGCACAGGTGTAATAGGGAGGGTTTCTAAAACCTGCAATCTGAGGGTGTTTTGAGGTTTGTAACCCTACTACAAGGTTTTCTTGATCAATGCAAAGTATGCAGGGAATTACCAGTTGGACAGCAAAGTTTTCCGAACGTTTCCTTATCTGGAAATATGTGTGTGTGTGTGTGTGTGTATAAATATATATATTTTGTAAAGAATATCTAAGGCTATTTTTGAGGTAGGTTTAATAGTAAACCTGTAGTCCCAGCTACTCGGGAGACTGAGGCAGGAGAATTGCTTGAACCAGAGCTTGCAGTGAGCCGTGATCGCGCCACTGCACTCCAGCATGGGCGACAGAGCGAGACTCCGTCTCCAAAAAAACAAAAACAAAAACAAAAAAACCCAGTAAACTTAGGAAAGAAGGTTTTTGTGATTAAGATCCGATTCACTTTCAGTTCTTTAAAGAAAAACCTTGCTGGTTTTCACTATTTAAAGTGAGTAGCAAGTGCTAACACAAAATATCGGATGGAGATGAACTTTTAGTTACATTTATACTTGTTAGTTTTATTTTCTGTTCTTTTCAGTTCCATGATGATGGTCTAAGCAAAGACCCTTAGTCCTGTTAAAGATACATTTAAAAAACAAAACAAAACAAAACCAAAGGGAACAAAACTTACTCTGCAAAAGTAATATATGATTTATCTGCTGTTGTCATAAGAATTCCAAATAGACAAACTCAGTGTAAGTAGTAGTTAATTATAGTCTGAGAAATAAGGTTTTTGTTTTGTATGTCAATGGCTTTTAAAATAACCTCCTTGATACAATTTGTGCAGGTTCGTGATTACTGGTGATAAACCATGAAAGTGGTTTATTAAGATTTTTTCATTACTGAAACTAGTAGATGTGTGTATTTCTTCCTAACGTGTAAAAAAGAGACTAAGAACCGGCCTTTCCTTTTTCCTAAGAATTTTAAAAAGTATTTTTAAAAATGTATGTAGATTGTGTAAGTTCATGGAATTTGACACTAATAATCAATTCATTAACATTATTTTCACTAAACGATGCACAAGATAGTTTTAAAAAAGATATTTTAATGGGAAGGGAGACTTTTCCACCTAGTTTATTCTTTTCCTTAAAGAAAAAAAAGAAAAATCACAGTACTCTTAAGACCTGCCATATGTGCTGTGATTCAAGTTCTTTTATATTGTTTAGTGTTAGATGTTTATTTTAAGCTCTGCAGTATCAAGAAGTACAACTTCGGTACCATATGGTTTACAAGTTTGTTTTAGCAAGACAAAGTTTAAAAATGAAAGTTTTATCTCATTTAAGGTTACATATAGCTTTAAAAGCCAAAATCAGAATTATTTTCCCTCCTAGAACTGTTTGGAACTCTCTTACTTACTGGGGTAGAAGGGGTACATGCTTTACCCTACAACTTTCAAAAACATGTTTGATCTTTATAAAGTGATGGATTAAACTATCCTACAAAGATACTTAGTTACTGAAATACTTAGAAGATCCTTTTTGACAGCTTTAACTATATGGTATTTATTGTAGAACTCAAAAACAACCTTTAGAAAGCTGGGTAGTTTATATATTGCATCTGGAAGCATTTTGAACACAGTGTGCTTGGTGTGCTAGGGCCAAAATGATTGCCAGGTTAGCTTACTCTGCTCATGAGCTCTTGTTTTAAGGAAGGAAGTGTGCTGATTTATGTCATCTTTGCAGAGCTAGGTAGAAATAATGATGTCACAAATAATAGTATTATTATATTGTTAATTTTGTACAGATAATTTTAGAAACTTTTGCATTACAGTATTTGCACATAAAAGGAGCAAGGAATGGATGCAACCTGCTCTGCTACAAGTAAAAATCCTCAAAGGATAAATTTTAAATAACTTTATGTAATATCATAATCTTTACAGGTTATACATTTTTTAAAATTCATAAGAATACCATAGATACCGTGTACAGTATATAGAATATTTAGGCAAATAATATTCTAGCTCTTCCAAGTTAACTCATATCCTCTATCAGGAATTGTTGAACCAAAAGCCCATGATTAGAACTGTGGTCTATGGTTAGAATTGAGTTTTAATATAATTGGTTTTTTTTGTGATCTTAGTATTTTTGTCTTCTTTTTTTATGCTATGAATTTTATTTTGTTCATTTACAAACATTATTCATAGAAAGCTTCATTAGGCCACCAAAGATGTCCATGATACAAGAAAAGGCTACAAACCATTGCATCTGGCTAAAGAATTTTGATTTTACGTGGGACTTCAGAAGAGTTGCTTCATATACTCATCTTTGTAGTTCATCAGAATTTTTTTCTGCAGAATAAACCTTATTCCAATATCTTAGCTATTTTTATGAACAAAATCAGTTATTTGAGGTGTCATGGTATTTTTGAATTAATTTGAAGATAATTACATTAGTCTTCAATTTTACACATATTACAAAAAAGAAGTTTTAAGAAATACCCTTCCTTTGGAAGTTTTTTACTGCTGCGCTTTTCTGAGTTAGAGGTATTCAATAAACATTATTGACCTCCTATTGTATGCTAGGCATAGTACTAAACACTAGAAAGTAAAAAGTTAATTAGATAATGTTGGCTGGGCACTGTGTCTCACGCCTGTAATCCCAGCACTTTGGGAGACTGAGGCAGGTGGATCACTTGAGGCCAGGAGTTTGAGACCAGCCTGGCCAACATGGTGAAACCCTATCTCTACTAAAAAATACAAAAATTAGCCAGGCGTGGTGGTGCACACCTGTAGTCTCAGCTACTAAGAGGCTTGAGGCAGGAGAATCACTTGAACCCGAGAGGTGGAGGTTGCAGTGATCCAAGATTATGCCATTGAACTATAGCCTGGGCGACCGAGTGAGACTCTGTCTAAAAAAAAAAAAAAAAAAAAAATCATTAAGTAGTTATTATTTTGAAAACTTGTACATTTGTTGAAAATTTCTAAATCAAATCTCTGTTGCTGACATTGTTATTTCAGTCACTTTATCTTTCTTTCTGATCCATTGACTGCTAACATTTTAACTCAATTTTCTCCTCTCCTTTCTAGTCCAGAAAAGTTTTGTAAATGAACATTTACAACAATTCTTATTGAAAATCCACTTATAATGTGAAGCATTCCCAAACATTCATTTTACAAATTAGGTTTTTCATATACTAGTTATTCTTAAACTAGGATAGCTCCATAACAAAAATTGCTTATCATTTACTAAGAACCGCTACTAAAATTTTAAATTTAAGAAATTGACATTTTGTTGAACAGTTTATCTGATCTCATTAATCTGAATTAAAGCAATAGTTAAGTTTAATATATCAGTTTAAGGTATTTCCTTAAAGAAAGCAAAATGGAATATAAAATATATAATACAGCTTCTGCTTTTTTCTAAATCCTTGTTGATATTGTTAAAAATCATTTTACGTGGAAGATAATGTTATTATAATTAGCCTGCATTCGTTGAATGCCTATGTTTTGGCCATTTATTAGGTATTTTATACATGGTTTATGATTCTCACAATAGTCCTATGAACCTTTTTATATTGATTTTGATTATGGATGATGAAATTGATACATTTTTAATGATTGAGTAGTTGAGCAATGTGTTGTAAATTTTATATCAGAAGAGGAATAAAATATCTATGGGAATTATAAGGTCACTATCAGGGTATGGATTCCATCCTTGTCAAGAACCCATCAGGGTATTCTTTGCCCATCAGATACCTCATGTTTTGGCTTTTTCTTAACTCCTCATCCTGCATAAAAAACTGTTGCCCCTCTCATGGTTCCCCTCCCCATACTTAGGTGAGCAGATTGTTTGAGCCCTAGATTTTTCCTCCCATATGGTGCTGCCATATAGGCATGAGATAATGCTCCTCCTTTGTCAGTGTAGTACTGACAGTAGTTTCCTACCTGCCAGATGGTAGGAAATTGTCCTATACTTTAGTGCCTAGGTTGTCTTTGTTAGGAACACTGTTTTTTCCAAAGGGTTTGTTGTTTGAGATTTTACTTTATTTCCTGAGCTTCCTTTAATAAATATTTGATGAAAACTTAACCATGCACTGTGTTCTGTTCCAGATGCTTGCAATTTGCTTTACATTCTAAGGGGATTTGGAGAAGAGACAATAAAGAATAAACAGTCAATTCTATAATATATTTAGAAGGAGAAAAGTGCCAAGGAGGAAAGAAAAAGTAGAGCATGGTAAGAGGAATTGGGAAAGTGTGGTACAGATTGTGATGGTTTGCAATTTTAAGTAAGTGTAGGCCTCATTTAAGTGATTTTTTTTAGCAAAGCAATTATGAAGGGAGGGAGGGCAAAGCCATGTGGGCATCATGGGGGGAAATGTGTTCCAGGCAGGGGAATGGCCAGTGCAAACAATATAGAGAACAGAGGTTTGCATGGTGTGCAGGAATGAGAAGGAGACTGATGTGGCTGGAATGGGAAAGCCAAAGGTCAAGAAGTTGGATGAGGGGCTGGGCAGATAGTGACCTTATGATTTAATTTTAGAAAGATCTCTGTCTACTCCCCGGAATAGACTTATATGTTACTGTGTAGGGGTAGAAGCCAGGAGACAGGCAGCTATTTTTTAATCCACACAAGATGTGATGATGGCCAAGACCAGAATTGTTGAAGTGGAGGTGGTGAGAAGTGGTCAGATCCTGAAATATGAGAGAAAAAGAAGTCAAAGATGACATCAAGATACTTGTTCTCAGCAACTGGAAAGATAAAGTAGCCATTGCCCGAGATGGGGAAGAAGGTATAGATAAAGTTAAGAGTTCAGTTCGGGGCTTTGTCAAGGCAAATAAGTGTTAGGTTATTGCTGACTTGACATAATTTTCTTCTGGAGATCATGTCTTAAAGTAGACTACCATACGCGGTTTTCTTTATGACCATGTCCTATATTCTGGATACATATGTATGCTTGTCTTTTGCTAGTTAGTTACTAGTGGAAACTGGTGAATAGGTAAAAGCAACATGAAATAAATCAGAGTTTTTTGTTAGATACAAAGCAATAGAGCAAAAAAATGGAAACATTGAAAATTACTTAAAATTTACCGTCTTTTTGTTGGCAGTATTATAGTCTTTTTTCTTATTAATTTTATTTTCTGTCTCTGTTGTATAAATTTTCTACTGCAGTCTTCTCTAATTCCTCCATTTCTAGAGTGACAATGGTTTTATACATCAAAGAATATTTATTCTTCAATTATACCTTCCTTACTATAATCCTTTAGCTTTATAAACACAAAGTTACTTCTCTAATGAAAGATATTTTTTCTTTTTTCTGACACTATCTACTTGAAGATAAAGGTTTTTTTTGTATTACTTCAACTTGGTATAACTCTCTGTTTGCTATCTAGTTATCTAAAATAAAATCTTAAATACTTCTACTAGTAAGATGTGTAAATCTTAAATACTTCTACTAGTAAGATGAGCAGTTGTAGCGTATCATCAGAAAGTCCTCAGTTTATCTTTGAGGAGCTGTTAGTGAAAAGATGTTAATATGAAGTTTTACTTTACAGCTTGATGTCTAGACCTGTGTACTGTTAAGAATATCTTTGCATAGAAGTGATTCTCTACTAATATGGAATTATGGATATTTCTAATTTTCTTTATGTAGTATTTCTGTGGTATTTCAGAAATCTAATGAACAAGTACTGTTTGATAATCAAAAGAAAAAATCAATACACATAAAAGAACAAAGAGTCTTATGGCTTTATGAACCATTATATTAGTTTCCTAGGGCTGTTGTAACAAAGTACCACAAACTGGGTGGCTTAAATGACAGAAATTTATTCTCTCACAGTTCTGGAGCTAGAAATCCAAAATCCAGTTGTCAGCAGGATTGGTTCCAACTGAGGGCTCTGAATGGAATCCTTCCTTGCCCCTTCCTAGCTTCTGACAGTGGCTGTTCATCTTTGGTGCTCCTTGACTTGCAGCTTCATCCTTCTAGCCTCTGCCTCTGTCATCATTCTCTCTCTTTCTCTTTTTGTAATGACTGCTACCAGTCACATTGGATTAGGGCCCACCCTAATGACCTCATCTTAAGCTGATAACATTTGCAAATACCCTGTTTCCAAATACATTGACATTCACAGGTCTGAGAGTTAGACATGTGTTTTTGGGAGACACAATTCAACCCATAATAGGTATAATGAATCAGGTTTAAGATGCCATTATCATTTACCCAGAGCATTCTAGTAGCCTGATAAAGTTATTGGATGTTAGAATTATTGGATGTTAGAATTTGACCAAATTCCATATAGTGTCATCCCCTTTTGGGGGAAAACACCTATTAAATAATTTATATAGCATGGTAGATTACTTAACTAATTATGTATTGGGCTTAAGTTTCGGAAGGAGAAAAGATAGTCTGATAGTCTTGTCTGGGGTAATGAAGGAGAGTGGCTCTGGAATCTTGCCTTTTGGGATAAAATTATTGCTGGTAAAGCACTGACTCATAAGAAAGCAGCAGTGACTTATTTTCTTTCTTTTCTTTCTCTCTCATACTTCTGATTAATTTTAAAGTTCAAATTTAAGTTTTTTATTTTTAAATATTTATTGGAAAGTATTAATAACTGATATTAAGCACTTAATAAAGTTAAAAATTTTGTTTTTTTCTTATTTAAGCCTTACAGAAATTTTAATAACAGTAAATGTTGTAATTACCCTTATTTTACAGGCAAATGTGGATATATGTTTATAACTGCACAAATGCATTCTGAAGGGACACATAAGACATTGGTAGTGGTTGCCTATGGGGAATATAATTGATATGGGGGAGACTTGGTTTTCCTTATATGCTCTTCCGTACTGTTTAAAAAATTATTTATGAAAATGTATACTAAAAGAGAGGTAAATTGCTGAGTTTTTCCTTTTAGCTGGACTATTAACTCTTTTAGGAAGAAGCAGTGATCTATCAAATTGTATTGATACATTCAGTAGATCTGCTACTGAAGTACTTATTTACATTGGAGTTAAAAACACAAATGCAGTTTGACAAATATAAATTCTTAGAAAAAGTAAGTTTTACTCTTTTATTTGGGGATATATTATTTTACTTATTTCATATTTGCAGTGTTGTAGAGTAATGCAGTTGCTTTTAACAAGCCATAAGTGAACTTCTGAGAATTTCATTCAATGTAAACAGTTTAGGAGAATATAAGATGCTTTGAAGTGATTCTGCCATTTTTCTCATGTTTTTCTTTAAGAATTTCTTAAGCATTGTGAAATATATTTATGTATTTAAACTTTTAGAAATTTTTGCTGTTAAGGAAAAAGTTATTCATGACAATTGTTAAAGACGGTAAGGAAGACACTTGTTACAGATAGATACAGGGAGCACTGCAGTGGAGTCTTGCAGATGGGGAGAGAGATTGGGCTCTACTCTGTATACTACAAGTAAAAACGGGAATTTATAGACAATGATGTGGGTGTAGTTGGTGGATGGAAAATTACTAGGGGGCAACATTAGGAATAAGAGGATTCTGGCCAAACTGACCTAACAGGATTCTTGTTGAAGGCAGGCTAGGGTGATCAGACATCACCTGGAGGATGGTGAAGGATGAGGAACCTAATCAGGTATGAGGGTGATCAGATAAGGAGAATGGCTGGCTTGACTTAGTAGAACTTTTGCTAAAATTGGACAACATAGAGACAAACAAAGAAGTCCAAAAGTTGAGGAATAGATGAAAAAGAACATGGAATAGCTTGAGTAGAGTTTGATCAAGGAGAGAATCTTTGTCAATATTTTCTGACTCTTGTATCTGAAAATATCAAATAGTTCTATTAGTCCCATTCAGAAAATCAAAACTGTCGTATTACATTACAATTAGTATTAGTGGCAGGGGCGCAGTGGCTCATACCTGTAATATCAGCACTTTGAGAGGCTAAGGCAGGAGGTTCGCTTGGGCCCAGGAGGTCAAGGTTGCAGTGAGTCATGATCAGGCCATTACACTCCAGCCTGGGTGACAGAGTGAGACTCTAACTCAAACAAACAAAACAAAACAAAACAAAAATATTAGTAGACCTTAAGGAGCCACCAGGGGAAGATAAATTATCTGGTGTTGGAAGTTGCCACTGTCCCTAGGCTTAAGGTCCAAAGACAGGAGCCCAAGAGCTGGAGCCTCCAAGCCTGACCTAGAACCTTAGAGGCCTTTCTATAGACGGGGAACTTGAGCCTTCGAGGAGAATATGCCAGAGATAGCACCAGGGCAGAGAGAGAAGGGGAGAAATACCTTGGCTTCTCTCCTCTGTCTTTGATTTTCTGGCAGTGCCTCTCATTGGCTGAAATGGGCCAGAAATGGATTCACAGGGATCCTGGGAAATGTTTGCAGAGATCAGCTCTGTATGGTTGTCCCATACAGAGCAGAGCAAAGGAGAGAGGGGGATGATTTTGAAATCAAACATGGACATAAACTGCATCGCACTGAAAACTTACCACAATATACAATAGCACCTTGCACTTCTCTTCTAGTGCCACCCTAAAGAAGCAAACACTTTTAAGTCTTTCAGCTGATTATTCTATAGTTTTATTTATATTTCTAAATATGAATTCTGTATTGCTATTTGGTGATTTTTCAAGCTTAAATTAACATTAATTTTCTATGATGATGGATGTCAATTTAGTTCTTTTATTTTCGTCCTTATTGTTGCAATAGAATTGTATCTTTTTTAAATTTTAAATTTTGTGAATATGTAATAGTTGCACATCTTTATGGGGTACATGTTATATTTTGATATAAGCCTACAATGTATAATGATCAAATCAGGGTTGATGGGATGTCCATCGCCTTAAACATTTGTTTTTTTGAGTTAGTAACATTCTAATACTACCCTTGTTGTTATTTTGAAATATACAATAAATTACTGTTAACTTTAGTCACCATATTGTGCTACTGAACACGAGAACTTATTCCTTCTAATTGTATTTTTGCACATTGACCAACCTCTCTTTATCCCTCCTCTCCACTTCCTTTCCCAGCCTCTAGTAATCGTTATTCTGCTCTCTATCTCCATGAGATTATTTATTTTTTAGCTCCCACATATGAGTGAGTACATGGAATATTTGTCTTCCTGTGCCTGTCTTACTTCACTGAATATCCTTCAGTTCCATCCATATTGTTTCAATTGACCAGATTTCATTCTTTTTTATGGCTGAATAATATCCACTTATGTATACATACCATATTTTCTTTATCCAT